ATTCACTGACAACTGATGAATATCGCACTCTTACTCTGACTATAGAGTAATCGACCTATAATATCCATCACTATTGGATTTCTTATGACATAAAATTGTGTACAAAATCCTTATCCTGATATTCATGATATAAAGGCAATGGAGAAAAAAGTGTTTGGAATTCTTAGTTTTTGAATAGAAATCTCACAATGAAATTAGAAATCCCAACACGCCAAAAGTTCATGATCTCGTTTTGAGGACCGTCATTCGCCGGTAGCCATAATCTTTAAAAATAATGGGCATAAATGCAATCTGAAAGACTTTTGCGCTGTTTAGTTTTATGATAGGCGGTGTAACGAGAATACACTGATCCACAGCACCGAAGATTTTCTCTCAGCGAAACTGCTCCGCAGAAGGCAAAGTGTATAGCAAGAATATTGCGGCATCAACTACCTAGATAAAAAAAAGCTCACATGGGTATATTATGCTGTCACATTGGCTTAAAGTATTTCGGTTAATATTCATTATATTCTAAGAGCATAGCCTGTAATCTGGGCTCATGCATTGTTGTTACACAACAGTATTAAGCCAAACAAGCGTAACAGTTTTTGGTGTGGTGCACCGCTGCCAAAAAAATCTCGTACAGAAAACCAAATACAGCAGCACGCTGGTCTTTTCATAATCGGAGCGCTAGAACCACTCTAACACCTCCACTATAAAGGTTACTTAACCTACCTTAAATCAGCATTGCAGTAAGAAGCTTGAAAGAGAAATCAGCTGTAAGATTGGCGACGATAGGTAAGTGTTCTACAAGAATTTTCGGGCTCAACGGGCTTTATATAATATGAGAGGGAATATCTTCTTCAAGTCACATTAAAAGAGGTGCAGGAGCATGCGGTCGTCTGCGGAACATCTACTCGGACGGATTCATAATGACTGATGTTGTGGGCATCATAGGAATATATTACCCAGGATCAGCGAATCTTCTCGAATACTGCAGTATCATTCAGGCGGAAGGCTTTGCGAATGGAAAAGAAAACCACATAAGAACATCATAGCCAAGCAGCAATTAAGGTAACAATCTCACATCAAATTATATCGGAAAATATCCTTAGAAACAGGAGGGCAGTAAAATTGGTGGCTGCCAAAAAGCTAGTCGACCATACGTAGCTAAAAGCGATATTTCTGAAAGTGCTCACAGACGGTTCAAGGTAAAATGAAATGCCTAAATAACCTCTGATTTTGTGTCGATGCCACGCTGTCAGCGCGATTTGCAAGCATTGAAGGCGTCACGGAATGCATTCTCCGAAATAGCCTTGAGAGCCGAGGTGCAAGCTGCTTGGATCCCCTCTGTCATATAAAAATGCTTGCCCTTCTCCAGGTTTTTCAGGGAAATAAACCAAAAGATTCATGACTCGTCACCGATGATTACGTTATTCAAAATTTGGAGGCCACTTTCACACTTGTTTTAATTTTCTTGGAACACTTCCACTGCATTTCCGGCTTGCACCACTCACAGAAACAAGTCGCCCGAAAATGTTTGTCCTGACTCTCCAAGTGCTCGGAGACACTGACTAGCCGCTTGTTCGTTAGATAGGAATGCCCCCTACCGAATCCAGTCAGTGTATGCACGGTCCGTAGTACAGTAGCGGCGGAAGAAAATCAGTCTTATTACTTTCCGGTCAAATCCTGTATCTTGTATATTCATGAAATATAATTGTTCAGAACTAAAATAATTCGAATATTCTTATACTCTATGAGCCAAGGTTTATAATATTCGACTGCATTGTTTATTGGACCTCAGAAGTCTCAATATATAAATACTTAAATATAACTTCATGTGTTTGATACGAAATCACATATGTGTGTATACTAAACTAATTACCCTCGTATGTTGTAATACTTTACTATATCTGGACTTGCTTCAATTGAACCCACCAGTGCACGATTAATGAATAATTTTACGCTCATTCATTTATTTTATTTTTTTCGCATTTTATTATTTATTGATTTAATCAAGCGCAACGATTCGTACAAAAGCACTGCAGACAGACACTTAAGTAGTGGTATGTACATATGTATATATGTGCACATGTGTGCTTTAACTTTGAGTGCCAGCTTGTGCGGCAGGACTTGACATGCTGCACCAACCGCCTCGACGATCAACCCACGACCGGCGGCAGCTATAAGGTAAACCAGTGATCAGCTGAAAGCGTTGCAATTTTAAAATCGCAACGAAATACTCGTGTGCCGCGCCGTCCGAGTGTTCGATAGCTTAAAAAATGTATAGCCATATTTAATGCAACATTTCTTTTATTAATGGCTGACAATTAGTTTATGTCAAATGCGGAACACATGCATATATGTACATACGTACGACAGGGCGGTACCTACAAAGCTGTGATGATTCCGGTGCAGGCATATGATATAATGTATGTACATAATTCCCAAGTGCATAAGCCTGCAGATATATACGAATACATAACTTAATTTAAGGCCAAAAGTACTGGTTTACTCGCTCACTTGTGTATAAAGCTTGTGTGTGCCTCGATTGATTTGCTTGCCAATTTTTAGTTCAACAACATCAATTTCAATGAAAGAACTGCTTGTACTCGTGATTTCATTGATGTTTCCAGCGAAAATCGGCTGTTGCATAAATTAATCAGACGCTTTTAGCAAAGATTTATAGGAAAAGTGGGATGTTTAATGTTTGCGGAAGTTGTTGGGTTAACAGTTAAAATACCGTTCATACGTGTATATCAATACAATAATACTTTATTTTGAGGGGTCAATTTGTTTGGCAACTGCATATATGCAATAGTTGTCCGATCTGGAAAAGTTCTTCGTATTGGAAAATAATCTATGTAATATTCAGTGATATCTCGACAAACTAAAAAGGTTTCCATATGAGAACTTTATTTTGATGGGTTATTTGGTATGGCGGCTATATGATATAGTGGTTCGATCAAAAAAAAATTCTTCTTCACAGCGACAGCCTTAGAAACAAATTCATGCCAAATGTAAGGATTTCTCGCCAAATGTAAAAGCTTTCCATAGAAGGATCTTATATGGCAATTAAATATATTGTATTCCAATAAATGAGCGGCTTCTTAGAGAGAAAATTATGTGTACGGATGGACAGACAGAAATACAGATGAACATGGCATGAGCATGTTATGCAGCTCATTTACATTCTTTATGCGTGTTACAAATATCGATGCGAATTTCAGAACATAATAAGAAGAACTGTTTTTGGTAACTAAACAGTTTAGTCAACTTTTTTACTTAGTTTACTAATCGAGATGTATGTATGTACTTTTATCGTAGTTATAAATATGAGGAGACTAATTGATTTCTGGTGCTTTATGACTTAATACCGTGGTAAGTTTCTGATGGAAAAAATCTGTTAAAGCATTTCCCTAGATCCCTTAGTATATAAAATATCGGAATAAACGTATTACATGTATTACATTCAATGTAATGTGGTTTCGTAAAAAACTAGATGAAGGGTCATGCATGTCTTTAAAATTTTGAACCGGCAATTTTAAGCGGTGAACTTATATATAATAATTATATAAGATTTTTTCATGACATTAATTGTAAATGTTTTCTTGAAAATAATATAACAGTAGTTCATATTGTATTTACACTAGCCTTTTACACTTCCCTGATTGGCTATTTTACTGCACATATTGGTTAGTGCTCATTAGAGCCTCATTAAAGATCATTAAACCCCTTTTTGGAAACTGACGTATGAATGCTCCATTTAGGGCTTGAAATTTTTATTTATCCAAACTCATATGCTTTTGAGCATTTTTCAAAATCAAAAAGGTCAATAAAATAAGTTGCCATTTTAGAAAATTTTTATTTGTTGGATGTTTTTTCATTGAGTGTATTGGATGTATAACTTGCATATTAGTACAGATCAAAATGCTGTAGATGCTTATTTATGGTTAGGTTAGGAAGTCGATCTTAGCGGGAAACTCACTGGGACAGCAAAACATGCCGGTACGTTGTGGCACTTAAAGATCTTATATATCTAATACATTTCTTCTATATCTATCTCTAATCAACAAAAAGCTTTGAGCCTATTACAAAATGGTTAGTGTGGTTAATGCTAGTTTTAACTATATTTCTTTATTCGCTAAAGGCATGATTGCCCAGACTTTTCAACCACAGACAATGGTAGAAATTATCTGAATGTTTCCAACAAATTTGACAACTTGTGTCGACAAGATTTTAAGCCTTACCGTATTAATGTTTATTCAAGAATGTACAGTAGAAAACACCTACGTAGGTGGAAAAATTATATTTTCTCTTCAACAGATCTCCTTGGTTCTACTCTGAGCCAAAAGGATCGCGCATTCGCGCAGAAATTGGTCGTCGATCAATGCCTGCTAATCTCACGCGAGGTTCATAAGTCACGTGTTCACGTATGATCTCAAGATGCCAACGGAGATCCCAATATTGGCGCTTCTAATTCACATCGGTTTAATATCATTTCTGATGTCAATTGTGATTCTTCGTTAAAATCTCTCTCAGTCAAATTCATATCTATCTCTCTAATACTGATATAACTATGACTATCTTTGTACAGAATATGGCATTAAAAAATTTTAAGTCATATCTTATTATATATTAAGTTTATATCTTAATATAAATATCTAAATTTTATTCAAGTTATTAGTAAGATAACTTCGAATACAGATATATTATTGCACCTAAAAATGTTGCCTTCTGTCACAGGGAACAACAGTCGCATAATCAGAAAACCTCGTTTTAATACAGGCGTGGTTCCAAGATATTTGAATTCAAGAAAGTTTTATAATTTATATATATATTTTTTAACAAGAATAACACTAAATTACTCCTACCAACCTGTTAAAGTTTTCACATGACTTTTATAGTGCACAATACTATTTTTTAAACAATATGTTGTTTAGAAAAACGGTGAGAAGGATAATATCTAATATCATATCTATAATTGCTTAAATATAATATACGTTTATGAAGTAATTTACCTTTGCTGTTAGTATCTTGAATATCACCACGACTTTTGTCATCTAGCAACGATTCCTTTTTGCCGTTGTCTATTTCGTCAGCGCCACGCACACCAACATGCGCGTCCTCTTCCTCTTCATCTTCGCCGGTCTCAACTCCATCATCTTCATCATCATCATCATCGTCCACATCTACCTCATCGTCTGAAGCATTACGATAGTCACTGGTGCGCTTCGCCGACGACGCCGTTGTTGCCGCTGTCGTCACGGCATTAGCATTACGCTGCGTAACATTATTGCCGCCACTGCCAATTAGCACGCTGGTCGATTGCACGGACATCAATGCATCCTTGTGGTATGAATTATGACGATTGCGTGTCGGTACGCCTGCGGCAGCAGCATTATATGCATCTGTATTCATTTGCTGTAAAATCGTAGTAGTCGCCTGACCGCCTGGAAATGTGGCATTGCGTTTGTGGCGTCCTTTAGATTTTGGAAATGCGGCCAGTATATTTAGCCACCATTTGGATTCTTCAGGGCATGTGCCCTTCACGAATGTGACCCGATCGGGGGCGGTGATGGCAATCGAATTGGTATGGCCCGTCACATCTTCCGCCATGGCGACTTCGAGCACTTTGGTCATATCGATGCATGCTTGTGGCACAGTTTCGGGCTGTTTGGAATAAATAAATGGAAACAAGAATGTATGATCATTAGTGAAATCACAAATATTCATGCATGAATATGAATTCTTTATATATTCAGTGAGTTGTTCAGGGTCTGGTAATAACTTAAAATAAATAAATGTAAACTATGGAGTTATTCTAACACTTTTCTATTCACCAGCGTTGGAAGGTAGCCAATCGAACAAACTACATATTAGAGATGTTTAAATAAACAGACAATACTTATGGTGCAGTAGTGTATTTATTTTTTGCTATAGGGATTTTTGTTAAAAAAACGGCGTTATATGGATTTTTTCCCCGAAAATTTAGGGGCCGTAAGTGACGAACATCTATCACTGTTTTTTTTTTAACAAAAACCTCATAGTAAAAAAATAATAGGTGGTAGAAGAAATCTATAGCTATTTTCTGCATTTGCGGCAATTTTTACATAATAAATATTTGTTATGTTCATGTCACAAAAAACAAGTGGATTTTTGTTTACCAGTGTAATGCACCTTCCATATAATTTCCCTTCACTTCCTCGTCCTTATTTTGGATCGACCGTAAATTCTTTTTCCTTTCATTTTCAACCTACAATGATTTTTATTTACTTTTTTATCATTTTCAAAGGCTTCTGCAGTGGCTTATAAACACAGTATTAACTTGGAATTACAAACTACTTAATGATGCCCATATGTCTTTCTATAGATGAAAATAACACCTTCCTCAACTACAAATCTATGTCAGTAGCTATTAGAAATCGAAAGAACAAAATTGAACTACTTTAGTGAGGCCTTTAAATGCAGGCGCATATTTTTTAATGACCTTTCCCTTTTTCGCCTCATGGACAATAAACTAATGGAGTGACAGCAGACTGAACTGCTTGTTAATATGAATTTATATGGCACGTTCGAATATTATGCTGCACTTTCCTACAACGACGATTTGGTAGCGAATGTGTAATTTGTATCAGTGGGTCCTTGCCTTTGGCACATATGAGTCGGCATAGAAAATATTAAAAATAAACTTTCGTTTGCGTTGACTGTTGCTGGCCTTCATGGCGGGCTTAAGGTTGCCAACTATGATGAAATTTTTAGAAAAAGTAAAGGAAATTTCACTAAAGCGAAATCCAAATTTCCAAAAACAGGAACACCCTTCTTTCTACAGATGCTGTGAATCACTTTGTGTATAAAAATATACCATATATTTTATACAAATCGTCGAGAATTTTTAGTTGCAGTGGCAACTTGGTTAACACCAGTCACACTGAACGACCCAACGGCTGTAAATAAGCGAAAAAAAAGTTTAGTAACCCGCCGACAGGCAACCCAGTTAGCAAGGCCAACAGTCAATAAGCAGCGGGCAGCGCTCACTTGCTGCACCACACTCACACACATACACACACACAAACGAGCTTATCGACATATGTATAACATACAACTGTTGCATGCAAGCTTTGACAGGTGCTGCAGTGGGGTGCCAATTAGTATACAATTTCATAGTACTCATTGTTGTTGTTGTTGAATAGATTTTTGCCGCGCTGAATTTGGGTAAACCGCGCTTTAGAAAACAAAGTGGTGCTCAAAGAGTGATCGAAGAATGTAGTGTTGGTGGCAAAAAACAACCTTAACAAAAACGAAAAAACATGAACACATGCACACGACAGCGCCACCGGCGAATGGTAATGAAATTGGTAGTTCGAATTGGAAATGGTTTCATAGAAAGTGGCTTTTAGGTGTTGAATTTTTCTTTTCTTTTTACTCATTCATGTACTTTCGAAGCTCTTGAATGCGCAAGCGCAACTTGAAAGGGCCCTGGAGCCAATGTACACTTGTATGTGCATGTATTTATGGTATGTAAGTAATGGAAGAGTAATAAAGCAATATTTATTGGTAATGTGTTGTGAAAATTTAATTTAACTTCGACAAAAATTGTTATTTTTTGAAGCTTATTTCTTAATACCTGACATGAAGCAATTCTTTTGCTGCGACAAGAAAATAAAATAAGGGAAAGCGGCGCATACAGCATTTTGTTTATTACAATTCTTTTGTTGTGATTTATGGAATGTACTAATTTCTTTATACTTTTTACTCAAATAATATGCGAATAATTGTATGCATTGATATAAAATTGTAAACATTGAGAGGTACATATTTTATAATTCTACGTACTAGCTAAAATTAATTGTTTGTGTAATTCACATTAAATTTAAATTATCGAGTTGATTTTCGTTACCACGTTTTCAATCTTGCAACATGTTTTACAGAACAAATTTCTAATATTTGAACATCTTTGTACGGATGATCCAAATATAGGCACTTTTTTCAATAGCCTTTTTTGGACAGTGACAAGAAGATCTGACGTTTTCGAGCAAAATATTTTTCAGCGATGCGGCCCATTTCTAGATCAATGGGAATGTGAACAACCAAAAGTGCCGCATTAGGTACATAGAACAATCTGAAGAGATTTAAGAGCTGTCATTTCATCCAGAAAAATAACAGTTTTGTGGTTTGTAGGACGGTGGAAAAATCGGTGATATTTCTTCGAACATGTTGCGGGTGAGAAAACAACCGTCAATGGTTGATGCCTGAAATTAAAGCTTGTGATCTTGGCGACATTTGGTTTCAAGAAGACGGCACCACTTCCCATATAACGGTGAGCAGATAATTTAACGCTTTGGTCTCATATCATGTGGGTCACTGGTCAGTTGCCAGTCGATTGCCATCGAAAATTGGACGGATGGCGCGACCAACATTTGAAAGATATATTCTTCAAAAAGTAAAAGTCCAAGAATGTTCTTTCGAATGTTATTAAGCATTCCACATTAAATTTGAAGTTTCTGTATTTTTTCTTTAAAAAAAAAACAAGAAACCTCTAAATGGGGCACAATTTATTTCATATAATTTGATTTCCGAATCTCATTAAAAATTCTATAAAACTGGCAAAAAGTGAACCATTTTTGTTTTTATAGGTTTACCTATAGGGAAAGGAACAAACAAAATGATAGTTTACCTTGAATTTTGTGAAAGAAAAGTTTTTGAAAAAGATAAAAATAAAAGAAACAAAACGTGGTGATTTAAATTTTACAATTAAATATGTACAATTTAAAATTTTGTTAATACAAGAATTTTAGGCGTTTTTATTACCTACAACTTTCCCATATACCTATTTATATTTATATGTTAGTAGTTCTACCGGAAAGTGAGTTAAATTATTTTTAATCCTTACAAATTCAGTGACGCCCTTGCTCTTCTCCCGTTAGTGAAATCTGTGCTAAATTTCACGTCAAAATATTCATTAGTATTTGAGATACGCGTCGTTTTGTGAGGCCCTAAAGTGAATTCTTTGATTTTTTTATCTCATACTGCATTGGTTATTCGTGATCAATTCTCCATATTTTCAACTAATATCGTGCTGCAATCACCGCATTCGCCTGAATTACTTTCGTGTAACTTCTGGCTATTCAGCAAAATTCACGTGACCACTCTGAAGACACCATTTTGACTCAATTGATTATATAAAAGCTGAATCGAAAAAGACTCTGATGACAATTTTATGATGATAAATTTAATTTTAATCGAATGGATTATCATAGCTTCTATGCCCTTCAATGATTTGAACAAATTTAGTAAACTCTTATGACAGTTATACAACACGAAAACTGCAACTACTACTTTGATTATGTTGAGCTAATGAATACGTGAGCCAAGCATCTACATGAATATCGATAATCTCTTCTCATACAGTTTAGTCATTGCTTGGAATACCAGTCAAAGATGGACACTTGCAAAGAGGAAATGCAATATATTATATATATATTTTTTAAGCTTTTCCTCGAAAATGCAAGCCACTCAGTTGATTACATATATGATGGCTATGGTCCTGATACTGCATAAGCCAATTATGCGCCTTTTTAGTTTCAGCGATGCTGTTCTGATAATTGTGATGTCAAAGATGCACCCCGCTCTGAAATGCCTAAAACTAGACAAAACAATGGAATACGTCGAGTCCGGCCGTGATGCAGTATTTCTTTTCACCTGATGCAAACATGAGGAGGATTATATTATTGCTGGTGATAAAATTTGGGACTTTTTTTTCGGTCCTATACTGACAACAATTAGATAAACGGAGACTTTCACATTCTTAACCGAAATTTACGTTCTGAGGGAAAATTAGTTGATACGAAAATACGTGAACTTGCTATATTTTGTGTAAGAATAAGTCTAAAGAGGCTCTCTAGACTCTCCTGAGTCCAAAAAAAGTTACTAATACGAAAATTTTGAGTTCTTTGTAGATCAGTAAACTCTAATTATTTTTTGTGTGTAAACCTTCGCTTACCGAAACTCATTAAAAACGAACCTTTCAGTTGAACACAATTCTGAAATTCTGTTTATACTCGTAAAAAGCCTAAAATAGTACCGAATTATTGACAATTCTTTGGAAATAATTGAATTATAGAACTTTGAGAAACGTCGGTTAATTTTTTACAATATATATCACATCAGATATTTTAAACTAGTTAGTACAGCAACAAGTGTTTACTTGATTAGTGGAATGCGCCAACTGACCGAACACCTGAAATGTATCATTTGAATTATAGCACCAATTACGCGTATCAACATAATCAAACTGGAGCATAAATTATGCATGTCGCGTAAATTAAAAACGATTAAAAGTACGAAACTGAATAAAAAGGTGTAGCGAATGAAATGAAAGAGGCTGGACAAAAGGGCAAGTTCTCACCATCTTAGCTACTGCATATGAAATAAAAAGAGCAGTAAAACGTCAAAGTGATCAGCGATAGTACTAGTATTCAAGTCGAATTTTGTAACTAAAATAGGACTGGTCCGAATACTGTAAATATTGTGCCATTTTAAGAAAGTTGATTTAGATTGAGCATAATTACGCTGGAGAGTTATTATTTTTTCATTAAAACATGGATTACCCGAAATATTAGGATCAGTATTAAGCTCGCTTTTGTAAATTAAAATTCTATAACTTGTGTATATATTCTGAACCAGTTTAATAATAGTCTCTGTTTAAATTAAATCATAATTAACTTTTTTTTATAAAATCAGAATTTTTAAGATGATTAAAGGTTGAAATTGCTCATACGTTAAGAAGATGATCGGTTGATTGGTGTGGTTTTGTTTGAGACTAGTTGTCGAATAGTTTAGTGCGTATCCTTAGGTTATTTGTGTATATGCTTCAAATGCCTATGGAAAGCCTAGTGGAGTTGTTAAAAACAAAAAATAAAGTAACATATTGCAAATCATAAATAATGAAATAAAAGCCATTAAAATATAAATGTTGGAAACTCGCCAGACGATGCAAACCGGTTTTTTGCCATACGCGTACAATTAAATATTTCAGACAGAAAAGTTAAGCGCAGGTAACTACTATTAAAGATAAATTTGCATTTTTGCCCGGTACTTGTAGCGAGCGTTCAGTCATAATATACTCGATGCCCAATGAATTTCATACACATACGTGTATTCTTGTTTGYGTTAGTATATACATATGTTGTTAGACTTGATGCCTCTTGTCTGGCCAAAGATTTGTTTTGTGTATAACTATTATGTAATTATTGTTGGCACCAGCACCAGTAGATATCGTTGAAAAGTGGGCGCGACGGTTTCAACAGTTCTCCACCGTGAATGGTAAGCATTTGTAGATTGTTTTAATATTTATTGAGCTTTCAGTAGTGAGAATAAATTTATTGTGTGAATAAATCTTTTAATATTGAAATCATAATTGAGGGTTTTCTACTTACATGCTCATCCACCGAATATGTGAGTTCACCGTCATCATATAAAACAAACCATCGCCGTTGCCATCTCTGTAAGCATAAAGACAAATAAATTTGCTTAATAAACGTGGTACCCAAAAGTGTTTTTATTAAAAATAAATAAATTACAATTATATTTGAACAAAAATTATGGAAACAAAGTTTTGATTTTGCAATGCCTAGGTTAAAATTGTAGTTCATAGCAGATAAATTAGTTTTTAGTATCATTCCACTAGAATTTGTTCATACGATCAACTTTAAGACATATGTAAACAATAAAATTTGAATCTACTTCTTTGTAATGCTAACCACTTCTAAAAATATATGTAAATTCTCAGCAACAACTCCAAAGTGGCATCTGCTAAAATAATCCTAATCCTAATTTTTTCAAACTAAGACTTACGGGTCAGTCATTTGAAGAAGAAGTTGAACTGGAATCAACTGGGAGGTACCCAGAAAAAGTTGAACTAGAACCCTCTAGGATGTATACATTTGATTCTAGTTCAACTTCTTCCTCCTTAAGGGGCTGCATTTCGGAGCAGTTGACCTACTACTGCTTGTAATAACATAGAAAACGATGTATTGTGAGATAGTGATAGAGCCAAACTCTACTGGTTGACTAACAATGAGTATGTATGTGAGGCTTGAAATTTTACTACTATTTTCATTCTCAAATTTCGGGCTTATTTGACATCGAATTCCAAAAAAAAAAAAAAAAACTATACATGACGTTTGCAAAGAAATATATATTGTTTGTTTTATTCTTTAATCTTAAAAAATAGATAAAAACTTTTTAAACTCTGCGTTTGATGCGCCATTTAATGTATCACCTCTGATCCGATGTAGTGGATTTATTGGTAAAACATATCAGCTTCAGAGCCTTGAAACCAAAAAATATATCGGTTCCGCTTTTTTTCTCTTTATTCAATGCTTTATAAAAAGTGTTGCGGTTATCGGATTTAGTTCAAACATGCGCCGTTTCGTTCGATAATCTATTTTCATCCATACGGCAACTTCTCCTTTTGAAAGGACTCAGATAGCCACAATTCACAAACCTCTTTTGAGTTCAACTTTACACCAACAAGAGCGTTCTCAATGGATAGGAATAGGTGGTACTTACTTAATGGTTTGGTGACAAGCTAACATCTTCTTGACGATGTCACGAGATGCCATATGCCGGTCTAACTTGATGTTTTCTCCGACAGGTCACGGGTTCTGCGTGGTGTCACGGGTTTTCCGCCGGCTGGCTCATCCATGGTGTCGATTTTTCCCGCTCTGAATCGTCCTCCGCAGCTCGAAGTGATAGAGTACCATTATCCAAACACCATTAATCTCACTGAACGTTTCTCTAGCGGATTTGCCTTTAACGAAGGAAAACTTAAAAATAGCGCGAATTTCGGCGGTAGTGAACTCCATGCTTAAGCGTCTTTAACTGTTGAACGCAATATCCACATTTTCAAACATGTGTAGTAGAGCCTAGCTATGACAAGTTTGTTTGAATGCTTGGTGATCTGACTAATCGCGATAACGGTCGCCATTGCCGGTTAAGTTCTCACCGGCATCATTTTCGAAGAAATTTAGACCGATGATTTCACCGACCCATAAACCACACTAAACCGTTATTTTTTCTGGATAAAACGGCAGCTCTTGAATTTGTTTATATTGCTCTTCGTCCCAAATGCGCTTATGTTGCTTGTTCACATCCCGATTGTGAAAAATATGGGCCTCATCACTGAACAAAATTTGGCTCGAAAACATCGGATCTTCTTGGAACGTTTAAAAAAACCTATAGAGCGAACTCATGTCGCTAAGGAAGATCGAAGGGTTTCAGTTTTTGCACAAGCTGTATTTCGAATGCCTAATCTCGACCTATGGAGGATGGGGTCATTTGTAGAAGTTCACGCAA